AGGCTCCACCGACTCAACGATGCACCGTTTTGGGGGAGTTGAGCCATGGACAGCACTCACATGTTTTTCTGGCAGGGGTTCAAGGTTTGGGTTGAGGCCGTTCCCACCTTTCGGATGAGTCTGGCATCAAACTCTTTCATCCCAGAGCATCGGTTTTCAGAGAAGTATTGGAGCGTTGGGGGGATTTGGCCAGGGTCCTGGACATGGGAACTTACTCGTGTTGGAGGTGGCATGTATTGATAGCGGGCATGAGGAATCCAAGGATATCGTGCACGGAGAAGTTTCCTGAAAGCTTGGCCCCAAGATCCCATCAGTTAGTTTGCTGGAACGAGAAGGACAGCTCGCTGCGGGTCGCAAGGCGCCATTCTGACCGTGGCTCGGAGCTGCACGTTTGGGAGCCATGGACACATTTGGAGGATCCCATGAATCTTGGCGACCCCCTGGCTTTGTGCCAGGTTTGGACAGAAGAAAGACATCTCAGCACGGCTACCTGAGACTTGCAGAAAGTCAGATTTCCGGAAATGTCCAACCCGAAAAGCTCAACCAAAACCCAGCCCGGCGGATTGCCCCAAAAGACCACCAAGACCACCTTACCCCAAAGAAAAAACCCGGCCATCCCCCAAGCACCTGGAACACCTGGCCCATCCCCCTGATCGCTTTGGTTTTCGCCCGCGTTCCCCCGCCATGCGCGCGGCGCTTTTGCGCCTGCGCCTCCCGCTGCGCCGAGCCGCCGGACGCGCCGCCGGCGGAACCGCCGGCTGCGCGGCGTCCGAGGCGGCGGTCTTGAGCCGCGAGGGGCCCGGGGCGTGCCATCAACGCCTGGCGCGGCTGGGTGAGGCGCGTTGTCCTCCCAAGGAAAACACGGTGAGCGTGGACCAAGCGCGCCGCTTTCTATTTTCCTCAAGAAACCATTCAAGCAAGGTACCCGTTGCACCACCGGTGCCCAGAACACGCTCAAAATGATTGGGTGTCTCAAGTTTGATCCCTTTGAACGTTTCTCTGATTGGTGGGCTTCTCTTTGACCAACAGCCAACTCATCACGTGTTGGCTTGGAATCGATTTTTAACCAACCAAACAAGCGGTTCTATGGGTTGATTCTCATTCTTTTCCACCATCCTTGTCCAACACCAGCAGTTTTTGTCAGGTGTTTTTGTGGCTTTGAAAGAATGGGGAAGATGCACCTGCGTGGCTGGTCGGAATCTAGCTGATTTGTCTATCAGTGTCGTTGGCTGGTCGTATTCTATCTGATTTATTTGTCTATCAGTGTCTTTAGACGGGAAAGAGCGGGACATCGAACCACCGGCAGAGTCGACGGTCCATGTGGGAGAGAACTGGGGTCCCTCGCTTGCGGCTTCAGGCGGCGGAGGGTATGTCGGGGGAGGAGCTGAAGGCGGGGGGCAGACATTGGTCAGACCCTCGCGCCCGTCAAATGGACATCAAAAGGAGATTGTTGAAAGACCTTTTTGAAGGCAAATTGTTGACAAATTTAGACAGGAAGCTCAAACCAGGATTCTATGGTTTGGTTGCCACAGGGTGTATATATATATATATATATATATATAAAAACCCTCTAAGCAAATATCCGTTTATTTTAAAGGTATGGCAAAATATCCGTTTTACCGGGTTTTTACTTTTTGCATTGTAATCAGAATGGTCTTGCGTGAGTTATGATTGTGGTTCCCTCAATATAATCCCTTTGTTGGCTCTCCTACATCCAGTCAAACGCTCCACGGCCGACTAGCAATCCCATCCAAGCAAGCTCATTGAGCATGGCACCTGTTGCAAATCACCTGCTGAACTCGAAACAATGGTCAATCCGCAATTTGTTGGGAAGGCTTCCCAGATCGTGGCTCGGGAAGTTTAAAACAGCATTGGAATATGAACTTTCTGACAAGGGCAACAAGTAGTCCCAGTTTACCGCAGGCGGTAGCTGCACGTGTATACATATTGTGTATGGCTCTGAGCAATCTGCTTGGGACTGTTTGCGTAAAGCTCGCGTCGGATACGTCTGGAGGGCCGTCTTGCAAATGCTCACTTGTTTGACAACCAAGTCCCGTGCTAAAGCATTGATCCCGGAGCTTCTCGCAGGCTTGTCTAAAACGTCGCAGGAACATCATTTTTGGAGCGAGCCAAAAGAACCTAACCCACTTTGAACACTGGACAGCAGGTAGTAAAATGAACACATGAATGACTGCTTTTCGCAGGGTCACCTTGCAAGCTTATTTCGGGCAGCTCGGGCCTGGAAAGCTGCTTGAGCAGAGGCTGAAAATCCCATAAATTGCGTACGGGTTTGTACGGTATTTTTATGGGATTTGTACGGTTTTTGTACGGGTTAGGAAAAACCGGGTTTTCGGAAAAATATGGGTTTGTATGGGATTTTTATGGGATTCGTATGGGCTTTTTATGGGTTTCCTTTTTTTCGCACGCGCTCGCCCTTCCAGAAGCTTTCCAGCAAAGAAAAGCGGGCACACAGCTAGATTGCGCGAGCAGCGAACTGGTTTTGTATGACATTGTGGTAGAACATCCGAAGGTTTTCGGGCACAAACACGTACTACGCAACATGTTTGGCTTGGACTGTGCTTCCCATCGAATCAAAGTTAGGTACTGGAAGAAAGTGCGACTTAGGCGGAGGCCAGCTTTGTTGGCATTTGGCTTGTGCGCCGAGCCGAGTAACGAACACTTTGGGATACTGCCTGATGTTTAAACAATTCAAAAAAGTACCATGATTGAGCATGATGTGTCAATCACGCAGAGCTACTGATGGTCATGTAGTGAACTGCACACTTGTACATTCAAGTTGGTTGTCCCGCTTCATTCTTGAGTTTTGGTTGACCACGCCCTCGCGGCTACCCCTGCCTTTTGAGCTCCAATCTTGAGGAGCAGGGGGCTATCGCGCACTTGGCGGTACAAAAGGAAACCACAAGAGATTCCCAAAAAACATCTAGAAACCCAATATACAATTTGGCAGTGAAAGAAACCTGGCGGCTCCTTTCAACACCTGCTCGAGATCCGGCACCTTTGCTCTGTTCTTCAAACATCCGACATTTCGCTTGCGAAAAGTGCCAAAATAAAGGATGTAAGTGAAATACCGGGTTTTTCCCTGGAAGACCATTATTTTTTCCCAAACTTGCCCAACAACCAGGTTTTCCCATTTGACCTTTTAAAATTAAAGGATTTTTGCTTAGAGGGAAGGTTTGTATATAAATCCCAGTTGGTGATGACCCAAGGCCCAATGGTGTTAATTGCATGGGCTGCCCAAAGAGTAGAACCTTGGTTTTACATGTTTCTCAAAACAGGCCCCCCCCAAAAAAAAGTGGCTTTCTCCCCTGCGGTTGCACTTGGAAGCCATCCAAAGAGGGGTCCCTCCACATGTTTCAAAGAGTTGCTGGCAGGCGGTCGTGGCCGCCTTTGCGCAAACGGCCTACATGCCGCCAGCGCTCTGGTCAGGCGGGAAAAGCAAAGTGGTGGTGGTGGTGGTGGTGGTGCTGGTGCTGGTGCTGGTGCTGGTGCTGGTGGTGCTGCTGGTGGTGGTGCTGATTTCAACGGCCACCTACCCCATTTCGGGGGTCCGGTCCATCCCAGGCAAAACCGTCCATCTGCTTGCGTGGGACAGGCGGCCTGGCGAAGGCGGTGCCCAGAGCCGCGGAGGAGCTGCCGGAGCTGCAGCTGGCGCGGATCGGATGGCATCGGATGGGATGGGATCGCCAGGTTTCCAGGAAAGCGCAAAAAGGACAAGGATGTTTTTCTGGTTTTTCCGGGGTTCATTTTTTTTTCCCCGGTGGTCCGGGGCGGCGCTGAGGTAAGGTTCCACGAGGGTTCCGCCATGGTTCCACCAGGGTTCCACCAGGGTTCCACCAGGGTTCCACGAGATTCTGCGAGGGCTGCGGGGTGGTGCGAGCACTAAAAAGAGCACCGCATGCTGTTGGGGATATCACCTGAGCTTATTAGAGGTAGGTGTGAGGGAGCTCGCAGCTTGTGAGATCATCTTGACTTCGCCTCGGCGGATTGGGTTCGATGTACGATCGAGCAACACTTGACCACGTTCTTCGATCACCTTCCCCTTTTTGGCCCATTTGACTTCTGGCTGCTATGTGGCTGTCGGAATGATGATGCGTACATCAACCCCTGTTTCAAAGAACTCTTTTTGGTTGCTCTAACATAGGGGGGGACAGGCCAATGTATTCACCGTATTTCGGGAAGACACGGCTGAACCTCATGGTGGATGCCTGGAATTTCATCTCCAGCGTCTTGGCTCAGCTCGGCCCAAAGTTTGGCGCGGGCCAAGACTTGCAATCATTTTCATGCAGAAAGAACATCTCCACAAATCCGACCCCGGATTTGGCGTTTCCTTCAAGAGTACAGGAACAGCTCTGACATGGGACGCCCGCTCTCAATTAATCACCAGGGGTCTATTGATACTGGGCTCCCATTGCATAGAGTCTAAAGGTACACAAAACGACGCAGGCTGTCAAACAAGCATGACCACGTGACATGGTTTGACATGAACTTGGCAAAGTTTCCTCTGCCTTAAACTATGTGGTGCTTGCCCGTTTCTTTTTTTAATCAATGGATGAGTTGTTGTTTTTGTCAGCCCGAAGGAGAAGTGGGTTGCTTTTTCGGGTTCTGTTTTTCTCAGTCCAAAGAAGACAAACCAAACAACACACACACACAAATAAAAGCAGACACACCAAGAAAGGAGAAAGGACAGCAAACAACCTACCAAGCAACCAACCCGCCAGCCAGCCAGCCAGCCAGCCAACCCACCAACCAACCAACCAACCAACCAGCCAAGCAACCAACCAACCAACCAACCGACCAACCGACCGACCAACCAACCAACCAATGAACCAACCAACCAACCAACCAACCAACCAATCCGCCAACCAACCCGCCAGCCACCCAGCCAGCCAACCAACTAACCAACCGACCAAGCAACTAACAACGATCACGAGCCACAAACCAAACCAACCCACACAAACCAAGTAACATACACCAAGACACCCGTCTCCTTCATTCTGTTGCCGTGGCCATGCGCTGGCGATTTTCTGCGGCTGTTACCGCAGCTGCTTGCCGCAGCTCGGTGAAGGGGGACCTGTGGTGGGCTTTTGGGCGAGTGGAAGGGAACTTTGCGTAAGCAAAAGCCACCCGTTTTCTGGGGTCTTGGAACAGAGTCATCGTATATCTTTTTCAGGTATTTTTTTCCCTGAGCAGGGAAAGCGAGCCCACTTGCAGGAGGGGTTATCATCACTCGTGCAGAATGACGCGCAATGCAGTGTTCATGACGGGCACCTGGTGGGTCATGTAAATGGAGGCCAACCGCCGGCCCCGCCCAGGATTCCGAGTGGTCCCGTTTTGGCCGCTGGGGGGCAGCTTGGACGGCGAGGGGAGGGGCCGCTCTTTTCTCCACGAAGGGCTTGCCCATGGAGCGCGGTCGGCCTGTTGAAGTGGCGGCGTTGGTTAAACATCTGAGGCGCAGGAAGGATTGGAAGACTTCCAGGATTGGTGATTTCCCTGAGTGGTCGAAAATTGTTGGCCCGAAGGTTGTGAAATATGAGATCTTCCCCCCAACGCTTCCAAAAACCCCAGGGGCCCGGGGTTCATACTCGGGGGGGTGGGGGGGTCATATCTTGAAATTCACGACCCATTTTCTTTTCTCTTTTTTCAACCTATGATACCTCCATGGGTTTGCCCCCGTGACAACCCCTCTTGAACCCTGGGAAGAGAGCGAAGCCTGCGTTCTGAAGCATGCGAGTTCTTTCTCCGGGTTCCCAAAGAATGGCGGATCTCATGTTCATGCTGGTTCCTGTGCAGCGAGTCGTGAAAAACATCATTCACATTTTGACATGGGGCACGAACACATGCTTTCTTGAGGGGCAGTATTCACTGCTTCATTCTGCGGCCAAAAACCGTTTGGTTCGTTGGACATCCTTTTGGTTTGATTTCAATCACATTCTGCGGCTCTTGGCCGCTACTCAGCTGGTCCGGGAATTTTACGTAGCTCCTGTTTACCTCCACTCAGCCCCTAGTAACCCTCGCTGCAAACCCTTGTAAGTAGGTTTCAGCGTGTAGCAATCCCCCCCATTTGAGTCATGAAAGATGACACACTTGCCCCCAAGCAGCAATTTTTCAGCCACTCTGGCGGATCCCTCACATACTGTGGGTCTGTGTCACTCTTCGGGTGGCCACTGCCGGGCGGACACCCAACGCGCCCGGCCGCGAGGTGAGGTCTTGGACTTGGACCCGCGCACGCTGCTTGAAGCCGAAGCGCCCTGCAAGGCCCTGTCTGCGGAGCTGGCGGAGCGGGGGGTCCTCGCCTTCAAAGGGCGTCTTGGAGAGGGACTCGGCCGGGGGGATGGATCCGGCTGTCCTATGGTTACAGCAGGCCTTTGTTGCCAAGGCGAGTTTCCCTTTGATGGGGTGATGTTAGGAGAAATAAGGGGGGGGGCCTTGGATAGAGAGCGGTGGGTTGCTTGCTCCCTTTTATTTTAAGAGCCGAGCGTTGTTTTTCCCAAATGGACATCCACGCGTTTGTGATGGTTTTTCGGTTCGGGGAAGCTGCCATAAGGGAACACCGCCCGTTCAGCTTCAATGGGATGGGGCTGTCAGCCTACCCTTTTTCGGACTCTAGTGTTTAATTATTACTCAGCACTTTGAAGAATAGGAGACCCCACCTGTCCAAGAACGAAAAGGGAACTGTCTACAGAGGGGGTGATTGACTTGGGGGCTCCCAACCATACTGGGATGTTCGGCGTTTAGTGGGGTTTGTGACACGTCCCACTATGTTTGTTTTTGGACAGGAAGGGATCAACAAAGCACTAAGACAACTCAAACAGGTTTTGTGTTTGAGCTGATTGGACGGTTGGAGGTCGGATTGTGGTGCTTCAAAGAGTCCGCTAGTCTTTGGGGCTTGGCAGTTCAGACTTCTTGCCATTGCTCGACTAAGCTTTGTGCCCTTTTGCCCTTTTGTGTTTTTTTTCATGCTCCCTTTTAACCTGCAAACCTGACTTGCAGGGTGTCTTCGTCAAGCTGACGTCTTCCAATCTATCGCTCCATGCGGCTTTTGGATTCCCAGGACCAAGTGCCCCTTTCTTCCCATGGATTTCCTGACCGGCCCCTTGGTGTTTCCCGCCGTTTAGGCAGTGATAGGTGACTCGTTGCGACGGCCATGGGCCCCCTTGCAGTTGAGTCGTTTCTCCATTGGTCGCTCATATATTGGCTCAGGAGGCTGACGCCAGCTTCCCCTTTGTTTTATGCGGCAGGGCAGGTCGACTTTTCGGGTGCTTGAGGAAGGCGAGCCCTTTCTTCGAGGTGAACTTGGGAGAAGGGAACCAGTCCTTTCAGCTGAGAGCCTATGGTCAATAGTTGTTTTTTGCGCCGAGCTGAGCTGACAAAGCTATTGGTCGGAGGACAGGGCAGCCTAGGATGCAAGGGCCTGAATTTCCAATGTGCATGGAGCCCGGGGAAACCAATGCCATGATGTCCTTGCTGTTCGTTTAAAAGAATGAGCCCGAAAATGGGGGGATTGTGCCATCTACTTTCATCCAACTGTAGATGCTGTTGCGCTGAACTCCTGTAGTGACATTGACCGGGAACGGGAACCAATGGATTGAGGCTGAACCTCAGTGACAGCGAGTTCCTGTCCATCTCCGGCCTCTTGGGAAAGGAGATGCGCACCCGAGTCTCGTTTTGTTGAGAGATCCGAGCTCGGACTCCGAGCCGAGAAAGGGCCCGTGTCGGACTCCGGCGCTTGCTGGTGCGATGGGGAATGACCTCCGGGTCTTGGGGAGGGGAACCGGAAGGGGAGTCCTGAAAGGACATGCGGGATGGATTGGGGTCATTCCATTTCACATTCCCTGAGAACCAGCAAGTCTACCAAGCCCTCGAAACACCATGGCACGCCCAGTTGCTTCCCCACCTTGGCCCATTCCGGATAGGAGCTCATCAGCAGGCATGTTGTCCACCCGGAGTCGCCCAGCGAAGACATTCTTCGGCTCTCGAATCAGGACGGTGCGCAAGCAAAGGGGGGGAGCCAGGAGGGAACACATAGTTGTTCAAAGTATGTATTTAGGGCACCCTTCTGAAGCAAGGGCGATGTTTCACAACCATGCAGGGGCTCCCCGAGCACTATGGGCTATTGAAGGGAGGCGATCTCTGTAGCAAAGTGATGGAACCCTACGCTCCTTCCAATGGCTGACAGAAGATTTGGAAGGCTACTTTCCTTTTGGAAAAGCCCCGTGTCTCCTTCCATGCTTGTAGATGTCGCTGGCACAAACTGCTGGGGGTCACCCCTGACTAAATGCTTGTCGATTCAGGATAATAAGCCCCGGTCGGTTGATGTGTTGAAAAGGGCGCGGAACATTTCGAAGGACTCGCTTTTGGGCTCACACCCTCTATTATATCCGCCAAGTTGATTCCGGGATTAACCTTAGACTGTAGACATGATGTCACGGCAAGTTGTAGCCAGATTGAGACATTTCCGAACACCTAAAGGAGACTTCTCTCAATTCTTCAAGCCGGTAACCCGTGTCTGCACCGCGAGGCGCAGCATGGCGTGGTGGGGGTGGGCCCGCAGTGGCACCAGGATGGCAGTACAGAGCAGCAGGTCTTCAGCCTTTGGGACTGCGAATCAGCCGGTTGGGCGCTGTGCCGAAATAGGGATGACCTCCAAAATGGACGCGGGTTTCTGTCAAATCTCCCTTTCAGTACCCCAATTCCAAACACAACTTTCAGCGCCTTTCAACTAGAGTTTCCTTTGGGGGGTGATGTGATTTCCGGTTCATATAGACCTTTTTCTCCCATTTTCGCCGGGTACCACTTGAAGCGGTCTAAAATCAGGGCTCACGTTTCCCCGGTGCTTTTCGATGTCCCACGAGGCCACCTCCTCTTCCACGCGAAGACGCGATCTGCGGCCACGCTCTTCGCAGATGCGCGGAAGGCCTTCGAGCTGCTGCCGCCACAGACGCAGGCGACGCAAAGTCGGATTTTCTTAACGACGCGGAGTGGACGGCTAGGGAACGATGTTGAGCCCGGATGAAAAAGCCGATCCTATTGTGGAATTGAAGCATGTATGGAGCCAGTTACGACTTCAGTGCACTAGATTCCGAAGGAACTCATTCAGTGAACAAGCTATCCTATTAGGGGGGTGTTCCCCTCTAAAATGATGAATCTCCAGTGTCCCTATCAATCTGGGGCCGACGTCAGAGTTCAGGGGAATTTGAGGAGGGCATGAGCCATTGAGTTTGATTCCATGTTGGAGTACCCAAATACCAGGACTCCGGTTTAAGCATGTTTAGCTTGCAGGGAATCAACGGTTTTTGGAACGAGCGGGAAGGGGATCCCCTTGAAGGAAACCCCAGGTGGATGGTTTTTCGCGGTCAGTCATTCCCTCATGCCCTACTGAGAACCAGCAAGCTGAGCTTGCTCAAAACCTGAGTCCCCTGCACGGGAGGAATCCAAATACTCATTTTGAAGATCCCCTTTTTGGGTTTGTTAATTTGCGGGGGAGTAAGTGAGGGTGGATGAGGGTACCGCTTTTTAGGTTGGGAAACCACAAGGAAATCACATTTTTTGGCGTACTCTGGGCAAACTGAGCCATGATCAAATCTCCCTGATCGCATGTAGTTGTTGAAGCAACGCCTTTTGAAATGAAACGATGTGAAATCCACTGGAGGTTTGCAAATTAACGTGGAAACTCAAAACCTCATTTTGTGGATCCGCTATTTGGGTCGCATTTGACTGTTGTTTTGAAGGAGAGCATTTGAAGGTTAGTAAGGGGCTGAAAAGAAATGTGAAAAAAACAACATACTGTCCTATGATCATGACTCAAATTTGAAGCACCCGACAGCCCTTATGGTCAGAGGTGAGTAAGGGACAGCTACAAGCACAAATGGCCACGGATATCCACCCTTTTGATTCTTTACATGAGTTTTTGGGTAGACCGATTTGATACAAGGCTTTGATTGCTCAAATTTCTTCCAGGTAACCAGCAAAACGGGCTTTGGTGTCTCTTTGGTTTTCAAGCGAAAAGGGGTAACCTCAAAACATGATGGGTATTAATTAGATATGGACCGAAACAAAACACGTATCTTTGGCTGGGGAAAGCTGAGTTTTGCTGATCCTTTGTTATGGAAAGATACCCCCCCGCCTGAACCAAAAGTCTGCAACGTTCGGGTTGGGACGCGCACCGGCAGGGGTTCCAACAGACCTCATGGTTTCTTGGTTGGTTGTGTTTGGAAATGCGGGGGCAGGTACTTTGGGTCACAAATTTCGGATGCAAAGTTTGGCTCTCATTGTGGTGTCTAGCCAGGAGAAGTGGGCGCGGATTGCCTCGGTGAATGCCTACTCTGGCGCAGTGCATCCTTTGGTCCACGAGCACCCGGTCTCTGGCAAAAAGGCGAGGTTTCTGTACAGGGGTCGCTGAATCCCCCTGTTTGAACCTCGTGGCAAGTTGTGTTTGCACCCACCATTAAATTGCAATTTTTGCAGGAGACATCCAGTGACCCTGAAGTGTACTCAAGTCGGTCGCTTGAACGGTCGACTTGGAAAGGAAACGTGTGGCTGGGTCCTCAATGAGCCACGGCAGTAGGTCCCTTCTGGCTGATGTTTGATGGTTCAAGACAAAACAACAGGCCCTGTTGGACCATAGTTGCCAGATGCTGGCCAACATTTGCGACTGGACTGTCACTTTTTAAAGCCAGCTAAGAAACATCTACCGGAATGCACACCCATCGTTTGGATGGCTTGGCTAACTGGTAGAGCTTTGTCTGGTTTCTGCAACGCGACGTCTCTGTTTCCTGCTCATGTGTCTGGTTGCCTGGCTCAAAGTTGAACAAGGATGAGATGTGGATAATGGACCGATGGACCTGCCAAGTGTGCCACGCACGTAGTGGCCTAGCTATTTCTCTTGTTCATGTACCCGGTGGTGACCTTCAGTTCTTTCTTTGAAGGGAGTTCCCCTTATATTTTTCCTAGAAAATCAAGCACCCAAGAAGGTTGTCCTTTTTCCCCATGGCCTCTGGAGGCCTGCGACTACACTTTTAGCATTCGTCGTTGGGGGTGGGTGGGTTCGTCAGGTCTGCTCTAGGCTCGTTGCCCAAGCATGTTCATTCTTGATGATTGCTGAGGCAGCCGTTGCCACGTAAGTACTTGCTTATCCATTCTGCTTTCGACCCCATTTGTCAACTAGTGTTGTTCTCAATTGCCGCATTATTGCTTCTGGGTCCTTGGATTTCGTACATTTTTTGGGTAGAACCCTTACCATGTTGTGATTGGTGTTTCAGTTGCTTTGACCAAGTTGCTTTCAGCGGTGCCCCAAGCTGTCCAGCGCTTTTTCCCGTATTGTTTGGGGGTTCTCTGCTAGTACCCAAGAAGGGTTCTCTTTTTCTGCTCCTGCCTGGTGTGTGAAACCCCTGACGACCGAAAAGGGGCAGCTTAGCTGTTTTGCACTTAGCTTGACTTTGCACTTGGCGGGTTTTGCGCCTCTTTATGGACTTTCAGTGCCACAATTGTTTTTGATTGGAGTTGGACGCGCCCACGGTGAACGAGAGCATTCAGTAACCGTGGTCTAACGAGGGCGTTCCTGATGAGGATGTTCGACCCGGCGAAGAATGACTCGGGTGAGCTGTGCCGAAACTCCTTTTCTTGCTCTGTTGAATTGTTCGACGACGAGGTTTGACTTAGGGCCCCATCCAAACAGCAAGAACTTTGTCCGCCAACTTTACTTGTTCGTCAAGCAACCCTGGATCTCTTGAGGACTTAAAGCCCGCCACGCTCCTCACGCTAGGTCTAAAGTTCAGCCTGTGGCGTCACGGAACAACAAGTCAAATGACATCAGTGTGTGTGTGTGTGTGTGCGCCTGTGTCTTTTCGAGTGTACTTTTTCCGGGGTTGCTTTAAAGGGAGACTGAGGGAAAACCGCCAATTTCTGGGGAACCCCGAGAGACAAACCCAAATGCTTGGCACAAAGACCTCTCCAGGTCTTGTTCCTGCACCTGGGGCAGACTGGTGCCTTGATCACTCGGTCGCACCCAGCCTGCATTGATCGCATGTTTGCTCACCTGGGAAGAGTTTGCCAACCTGGCACCAACTTGGAGTTCCCACGAACGTCAGGGGAATGTGGAGGTTCCCCACCGGTGGTTTTTGGGAGTGTGGAGTTGGATTTGCAGGGCATCTTTATTGGCTAGAACCGGAGGTTTGGAATAGACTGGAATACTGCCATCAGACACTTGCAGCTCACTTTATGGGGACAAACACAGGCCAACCGGAAGTGAGTTGGTTGATCATGGATATCCCAACGAGAGCTTTTGGACAGGGCGAAAACCAAATCAGCTTGGCAGTCTGTTAATCTGGAATCTTCTCAAGGTGAAGGCTGAGGTCCGAAAAGGGGTCCGAATGCTTAGTTTGCCTCTGAGAGTATTGGTTTGCGACACCAGGTTTGCGTGAGCAGCGCCCAGCCTGCTTGTTAGGTTACAGCACAGGCTGGGTTCAGGGTGGGTGGTTTGGGGTGGCTTTAGGATTTGTTCAGTGTTGGTTCCCACAGACTAGGGCTCAGGAGGTTGCTTTATTGTTGGCTGCGGATGGGCTAAGGGTGGGTTTGGAATTACGGGTTTCGACGGGTATAGACTTGGTTTAGTGGGCTTAGTTCCATGCCATGTTCATCGGCAGATCCATGGAGGCTTCGCGGAACTCTCGTTGGACACGAAATCCTCCTCCATTTTGAGAGGAGGTTTGGGGACCCCTTTGGCCTGCAACTTGTAGGCCCCTTCTGAAAATGGGGGAAGACACGGCAAGTCGCGTCAGGGACCTCAACTCTGAGGCGCGCGGAATGGTTCGGACCGAGTCAGAATGTGGGCGTGCCCCCCCGTTGGAGTTGGTGCCCCAAAGGGGGGGATTTAAAGGAAATTCAAGAGAACAATTTCTTGGGGGGTTGTGCCCTAGTGTAAGACATGGCAAGACAACAGGTACTTTACTCTTGGCAGCAGGACTTTGCCCCAACCCGCGATTTTTGCGGCAGACCCTTTGCACTTGCTTGAGAAAGGTGTTGTCATGCGGAACATACGGGTGGTGAGCTGATTCAACCACTCCGGCCGAAAACGACATTGAAGGCTGTTATGCGAAGCCCTCCGTTTCAGGGTGCCGCAGTTGGCTTGGACCATTCTGGCAACGTGTGGGAAACTATTTGTAAATGGGTGGTTGAGGGGGAAGCTGTTTGAAAAAAACCATGGGCTTATATTTAAATAGGAGCCCTCAAAAAGGCTGGTCTTCCTCGGATTTGTCTTGCATCCAATCTCAGAGGTTATTCCGAACAAACAGGACACAACCATATGGGTGTTCTGCAAATACGGGATCCCCAAAGTGGATGGATTTCTTCTGGGTTCACCAGTACTATTCAAAAGCGGATCCGCCATTTTAAGAAACACCCAAATAGTCAGTTCAGTTGAGCGCCCAAAAGGTAGATGGTTCTACCTGGTCTTGGGGTAGTGAAGTTAGTAAAGCCTGGGAGTGCGAACAGATTTTGTCCACATGCAACTTTTCCTGTACCGCCATGATAGAGCCGAAGGTCAGCTCTTGTTAAATGGTCCCCGCCTCAGCTCGCGGACCCGAGCTTCGGAGCGCTGCCAGAGTCAGAGGCCAGCGGTTGCGGCTTGCTGTTCCGGAGGTAAGATTCCGCCACAAGGGACCCCCAAAAGGTGGTGGCTTGATGATAAACACACCTGGCTCTTTAGATTTCCCCAAAATAACATCACCCCAAGAGGAAACCAACCACTTTCCTTTTGGCTTTCCTTTAAACCAAGCCTTTGAAAGAGTAGCGAGCCTCAAACAAAATTCTGTTGAATCTCCAGCTCCAAATAGGGTCAAATCAGACAAATCGGTGCCAGGGGCCCTCGCTCGGCCTAGAATTTGTTGGTTTTTCCTTTGAGATGTGAAGGGAAGTCAAACCATGCTGTGGACATCCACAAAACGCACCAGTTGCTACACATGAAACCACGAGACTACGGGGAACAGAAAACACAAATGCCGACTGCTACAAGATTTCGCCCATACAGAGTAGAGGTTGCATTGAAACCCCAATGAAAAACCCAGGCTTTTTGTTGAGCACCGAATTATGAATTGAGGGAATGAAGCGGAAGGGGATCCCCTGAGTCACTGAGAGGAAACCACAAGGGCTGGTTTATAGGTGTCATTCCCTAATCCCCTACTGAAAACCAGCAAGTTTAAAGTAGGGATTGCGATACGCGACGTGTTGGCGTGTCGATACAGTCTGGATGACTGCAAGTGCCGCTGCTTGAGCTGTTTCTGGTGTGTGCTTTGAGTTCTTTGCTTTTGGGGTTCTGTTGAATTTTTGTGCGGCGCCAAGAGCATTCCGTGTTTAGATCACATCATGTTGACCAACGATGAATACCCTCCCCCCCCCGGAAGGGGTAAGCAGGTGGTCATACGTTTTTGGGTGCCCTTGCCAGTGCGGTAGGTGGACGTATACACCAGGTCACCAGGTCTTCATTTGGTTCATGCCCAGTCAGGTTCCGCGTAATGCTCACTTGCCCAAAGTGAATCGACCTTTTGACACCTTTTGGTTTCCCTGATTTGGTTTCCATATGTAGCCCGTAGGTTCCAAAAAGCGATCCCATTCTATTTCTAGGGGTCCTCTAGGTCCATTTCAATGCTTCACGTTGGGGGTTAAGGTTCAATGTTGGGAACGCTGGGGCGGGCGCGGGGAGGGGCGAACCAAACGGAAACGAGCCGTTCCTCGTTTTCGAGGGGTAGGTGGGGGGGGGAGAGCCAAAGTGAAGCCACTTCTTCTTCTTCTTCTTCTTCTTCTTCTTCTTCTTTCTTCTCTCTCTCACTCTTTCGTTTTTTTGTTTTCTTCTTTTGTTTATTTGTTTTTGTCTTTGGGGGGGCAAGCAAAGGAAGCAAAGAGAGACAAACCCCTGAGGCTGGGGGGGGGGGGGGAAATCGGAGGAAGGCCACCGCCAGGTGCGGGCGCTCTTCGCGCAGCTTCACGCGCTGCTGAGCCGCCCGGAGCTGCACCTCAGCTACACCTACGAGGCGCGGCCGGCCGGTCGCGTGGCCGTCTTCGCGGGGTTTCCCCGCGGTTGGTTGGGGGGGTTCAAGGGAAACCAAAAGGACACAACTGTTTTTGTTTTTTTGCTGGGGTCGCTTGTCTTTGAGACAAACCCAGTTATTTTCTTGAGGTGGGGGGCGAAAGGAAGAGCCGCGTCCTCAAAACAGATGGTAGATGCAGGTCAAGGGACACTTAGGTGTGGAGATCCACCCTCGGATCCCTTACATGGATATGGGTGGACCCCTTTGCCAGGTTTGGATTCTAGCTGTTCCTTATCTCCGAAAGTTGCTCACTGTCGGGACCCTACCAGCAAATGGCAAGAGGAAGTTCAGTGACGCTCTGCTGGATGGCCTAAAGGAACCAGCCACCGAACCAGAAGTTCCTTTCGTTTCTTATCCCGTTTCCCGATGCACACAACCCCAACGCCTCGCTTGGGCGCCTGTTGTTTTGTGGTTTGAAGTTTGAATTGAAGGTAAAAAAGGAGTCACCCCAAAAAGCGGGACCCCCAGGTGTCCTTTTGGGAAAATAGACTGGTACATTGCAACCAGGGCCATCTATTTTTAACCCAACACGATCAAAAAGGGCACCTATGGGACCCGGAAAACCCGAAGGTGGCAAGCGCCCAGTAAGTGGTTGCAGAGCCCCTTTGAAAGCCGATATCGATTAACTCCCATGTCTCAAAGGGGAATTTCGACATGGAACCCAAGATTTGAAAGTCACCCCCAACATGGCTCGTCAAAATAGGACTTTGGAGCAGGATGGGTTTTGGCCCTGTTGGCTTTTAAAGCCAACTCCAAAATTGGTGTCCTGCAAGCACATCTGCCGTCGGGTCTCATATAAATTGAGTTGCAGAGGTCATGGGTGACAGGCCGGGGACTTGGTGCTGGTCGACAACCTCGCGGTGCTGCACCGCGCCTCGGAGGCCGCGTTTGAGGCGTCGGCCTGGGCTCCGCTGCGAGTGCTGCACCGCGCCACCGTGCGAGGAGCGGTTTGGGGACGCGGGGGGGGGGGGGGGGAGCCAGGGATGGCAGTAGGGATGCCTTTTTGGGCTTTTGTTGGGCTCCCCATCTCCAAGGTGGTTTCAAAGATCACTTTGGTCCCTTTCTTTTTTTCGGAGAGAGTTGGGAGGTGTACCTCGAAAGTGCTTCGATGTCCTGTATGACTGTTAAGGAAGGGGGAACCAGCCTTTTTGGGATTCCGCGATGGTAGACTGGCCATATGGCTATATGCTAACCCAAACATGTAGGCTACATAATTTCGATTCAGAATCATAGCCATACGGATGCTTCCTATGGAGAAGCCACGCCATCGACAAACGGGTTTCAGGGAGCGCCATATGTTGCACGTGTTTAACGTGAGTTTCTTTTGATGTTTCAACATTGGGCATGTGGGAACTTGGGGCAAGTGGCATGTGGAGCCAGAAAGACAGCAATTGGGGGATGCTTGGTCAAATAGGGTTGGTTGATTGGGAGGGTGCGATAGTAAGATGATTCGATTAGGATAGGACATGCCTGCTGGAGGTACCCGCGAGGTTGGATATTCAATGCAGAGATCTGGCCATGTGAGACATGCAGAAAAAGACAAAGTTCTGAAGCTCGAAGCTGAAAGCAGGGAAACAAGTTGAGTTTGCGATGAGAGAAAAATCTTCAAATTTGGGGTTGAACAATATTCCCGACAAGGCCCCCAGTTTTCCCCATGGCTACCTGTTCCCACGTTGAAACATGCAAAATCTTAGAGGTTTCCCCCAATGGTCATCCCAGGTTCACCGGACCTTTTGATCAACCCCATGCGCGGTCGCCAGGAAACAAGAACCTGGGCGTAGAGGGCCTTCCGCCCTATTTGTACATATTCGGAAGCTTGGCAAGCACCAGGGTCTTTTCGACTTGGTTGCAATCGGGCGGGATGGTCTTGTCCGTGATCTCTGAACAAAATGTTTGTTGATCGCTGAGTGGAACACCGATTCCTACAATGTACCGATTCCTTTCTGCGTAGAGCTTGAGCTTCGCTGGCATCGATGGTGAACAATGCCCGCATGACGCATATCCAGGCAGAGTATTCGGATTGATGTCAAGCGAAGGTGCGTTTGCTTCTTGTTTTGGAGATGTTGCATCATTCCGCTTGTGTGGAGGCCGCAATTGTTCCCATTTGTTCTAACTGGACTCCCTAAAGCATTCCCCTGACACTCCCCCCCTGAAGCCCTGCTAAGCCTTGCTACGGCTCTGTAAAAAGGCTGGGTCCTTGATGAGGCGTCAACCCACCTCCACAGAGTTGGCTGAGGTGAGAATCCCTTCGACCCTTCCGGGCTGTGGCAGTCATCGGACTACTACGGCGTCGGCTTCCGCTGGAACCGCTCCCAGCGCTTCCAAAATTAGGCGCCCAGCGGCTGTTTGGGCGCGAAGTCACCGGGCGGCTCTGACCTTTGAGAGGGAACCAGGGTTGTGTTAAAGGATCAGACCCTGGTTCAAGGGAGCTAATGTCAGTCACGTGGTTGGCCCTGGAGGGAATTCCTGGCAAATAGGCTACACATTATTTGGCCATGTAAGAAGGTCCCTGCACATGTCCATTCGTTATGTCTGGGAGGATCAAGACAGGAGTCAGTTGCAGAAAATACGGTTTTGCAATGGTTCAAACTGTGTAGGAGCTTGTAGCTGATATCACGGAGCAGCTGATTGCCAAGTGAGCTTGGCTTCAGTCGCCCTAACACCAACACTGAAGGTTGCTTTTTGGTTCGGGGTCAACTTTTGCCTTTGACTCAAGACATGACCTACCATAGGCTTTGGAGGGAGCTCTGTTCATTTCAGCGGTTCAGGGAGAAGCACATCGTACGCACCCAGTGTTCTGGCTGTGTCTTTTTGCAGGTTTTGGGTTGGACCCCCCACATCCAGGATTGGGTTGTCCTTTTGGTTTCCCGCCAAACGGAGCAAGCCAACTCCGAAAAAAAGAAAAGTGACGAGCCTGTGTTGAGACACTCCCAAAGGGGACCCCCGGAGGGGTACCCTTGAACGCAACTTCTCTTGTGGGTGTCTCGCTGCAACTAGGACAGCCGCCATCGGCCAAAACCGCGCAGGCCAGTCGCTTTGCTGCTTTGCCGCTGTGCGAGCCGGGCCCAAAAAGCGGGGCGTGCGCTTGGAAGAGTTGGGGCATCGGCATTGGGCCTACTATTGATGTGGGCATGAATTTGAATAAGGGACCCTTTGGTGGACATCATTTAGGTGGGGATTCATGTCCACCAATCACTGTTGAGGTGGTTCCCTAGTAAAATTCATGGCCATGTCATTTTCAGGTTTGGACCCCCAAAATGGGTTCTGTTTTCTTTGTGGGTTTCCGGTAAAGCCAGAAGAGAAGGGATATCCTCAAAGAAGAAGCTCGATGAGCCGAAACCCGAAGCTTCACCCTCTGAGTTCAATGGGAGAACCCCAAACATGGATTTGTTTTTTTCCTGTTGGCTTCCTTTAAAACCGCCAAACAAGTGGTACCTCAAAGACGAGCCACCCAAATGGAGGGTGGACAGTGCCAGACATGGGAGACATCCTCCTTTTTGTCCATTGACTGGGAGTGGATTCGGATTTCTGAGAGAAGATGCTTAACAAGGAGATTTTGTGAGGCGGGGGGAGAAGGGAGTGATTTGTACGACATAGATATACATATAAAAGAAGAAATCCGTCACTAGTAAAACTCATGGATGAACAGATACACATATATACATATATACATATTATGCAGGTACCTGTATTTAACATATTCGCTATGTAAAACCATGAATCGAAATGTGCATCAGTGGTCCCATGTTTGGGTTATTTTCAGGGAGACTTCAGACTTAGACCCAGAGGTGGTTTGATTTGCACCATCTGAATCGATCTTGACGTTCGCTCAACACATAGGACCGTGGATCCATCTGAACTAGGTATAGCGAGATGAAGGACCCTTACTCGGAGGATAACACAGCTCACCCATGAAGGACCCATGGGGATTCATTCACTCGATTCGGGCTGCCATGCTGTGCGTTTGCCATGCAGCAGGGCTTATGATTCGTGCAGGGCTACGAAAGGATTTAGCCCCTGTGGTGGTTTCAACCAATGGGCCGCTTTTCTGAGCCTCCCCCCAGGTTTTGAACTTCAAAACCACCTCAATGGTTGGTGGACATGACTCCGGGCGCAAATAAATCCCCGCCCCTCCCGGTTCGCGCGGACCCTGGAAACCCTTTGAGCCAGCGAGGTGCACCTGGCACTGCTGCTGAGCCAATTGGAGCTCCGAGAGCCCGCGGAAGTGCTGCAGGAGGCGGTTTTGGGTTTCCGGTTTCTGAGCTCGAAGCGCTCCCTTTCAGAGAGGGCTTGTCAAAACTGGGGGGCACTTTTTGGTGTCTCCGTTAAAGTGCGGTCATCAAAAGGCGGCACCGGGGTCCAAAGAGGGGACGGGCCGTGTTTGAGCTGAGGTTTGCCACAAATTTGTTTACCTGGACCCCGGAGGTGCACTGCAAAGTGTGGGGGTGGACTTGGGGGCAAATTCAAGTGGAAGGAAAGGGAGGGACGGCTGACCCACCAAAGTTCCCAGCGCATTGAGTGAAAGGATGCCTGACGAGGAGTTCTGAGGAGGGCCTGACAGGGGGGGTCTACGGAGGTTAGGATGCCCTGACGTGGAAGAAACCGCTGGCTTGAAAACCTGAAACGCGTGCTTCCATCCATGAAGTTTGCTTGGGGACTCCTCATTTATGGTTGTGTGAATTCGAGCAATTTGGCTAGACCTATTGGCCCTCCTTTGGAGGTCCATGATAAGGGCTTGTGGGCCATGGGGTAGCAACTGCAAAGCGAATCAAAGATGGGGATCACCTTCGGGCTAGGCGTGCTCAGCTGAAGCTTTGCAACTTTGTGCCTTCCCACTTGTCTTTTGATGTTTTGTTATTTTTTGCTTGCAGGGCAAGAGCCAGTGCTTTGTCAGCACCTATCAACCTGAAAGCTCCGCATTTGATCTTTGTCAATTGATGCTTTGTCTCGTTGCATTTTGTGATGTGCTGATGCTTCGTTACTTATTCCCACTCTTCGTCGAAGCGAAGTCAAATTTCGGCTTGAACTATTGAGCTCAGGTGACTGCACTGATCAATCGTTCACTTGCTGAGTGGTACCAATACATGGTAGAGAACCAAAAAGCAAATCGTCTCATCATTTGTCCCAATTCATCATCGCTCTATCCCTCACCAGTTGTCCCAGTCGTGTGCTTGCTGAGTAGCGCAGCAATCGGCCCTTCAAAGCAAACCTTGCAATTCCCTTGCCAGTGGCCTCATCTTGGTATGGCTGGACAACGGAAATGGGATGCTATAGATTGGCGGACTCTGTGCATGATGCTCCCTGAAGACTCCGAATGTCCGAAAGTCAATCGGAACCTAGGGCGAAAGCAACATGACCGGCCGATCTCTGCCTATGCTTACAGTCTTTCGACCAATCTGCGCTCCTTGTGAGCAACTCTGCTTCAATGTCCTGATCTTTCCCCTCCCTTTTCTTTTGCACCGCGTTTTGGAACGAGCCAAACTTCACACGTGAATTCCATGGGGTTCTGAATACCAGGCATTTTCGGTGGAAGGCCCTTGTTTCGTGACCTGAACTCCAGTTGGCGGCCCAGCTGGAGCAGCGCGCGTCGGAGCTGCCCCCGCCAGGAACCCGCCGAAGGGGGACCACACGGTGAAAGGTGGCTTGGAGGGGAGGTTCCCCTTTTAAGCTCTACAAAAACCAGGGGTTCAAATCCGCAAACCTTCCCCTTACCTCGACAAAACCAGGGGTTCAAAACACCAATCAAACCACCCAAAGGGTTGCCTGAGCTTACACAGGCCGTTGGCGCCGTCCCAGGTGGCTTCAAGCTGCGGCGTTAAAAACCATCGGCACGTGAGCAGTCTCGCGTTAGGGGTGGCAGTTCACAACTTGCTGACATCCAACCCAACATTCAAACACTTTGCGAGACCACACAAATGAGGGGCTGAACAATATGCAGAGGGTGTTGGGGCTCAGCAAAACCCGGGGCCGCAGAATTTTCAGATGTCACCTGGGAAACAAAGCATGTCCGTGGGTCACATGCCGACGTGAGTTTCTGGGCCTTGACCTTAGGGCCTTGGTGTGCTCGAGCAAGTTAGAGAGAGAGAGAGAAAGATCAGGGTTGGGCAAGGTTGAGACAGGATACAACCTGACATGGACTTGTCTCATGGCAATTTCGTGACCGTGATCAGGACATGTGCAACCAATTGAGCATGCATTACTTAGATTTGTTAGTGTGCATCATTTACATGGAGACTTATCTCTATCGCCCATTGATGGCGGTAATTCCCTTGAAGCAATATACATGTGGCCCACAAATATGACCACCAACTGCAAACTGCGGGGATTTCATGTACAAACGCACGCGTCGATCTCTTTGAATTCCCGTGAATACCGCACAAAAGTGCTGGAGATGGGTCTTCAGCGTATGGCTGTCTCGCATCAACATCCTGAAAACCTCCCCCTGCCATGGAAGATAGATATGTCCACAAAGGGTGGTAAAGGCCGGCCGCCCAAAAGTTCAGGAGGTTTGCACTGGGGCCATGATACTGTGCACAAACTCCACAAAACACGTCATTTACATGGAACAAAAGAACCACCTATGAATACTTGATGCATCATCAATTCCAACTGGTGGCGAAAGGGGATTTTGCCCATCAACAGGGAGGGCTCGCTGGGCTTTCCGGCTTTGGCTCGCCAGGGCTGGTGGGCTCCGCCAGAGGCTCAGAGCTGACTAGTTTCCTTCATCCCAAGTGGTGCGATTTGGTCTGTCAGTCGTTGGTCTCCTTTTGGTTCTGCAGGGACCCCAGGACCTCTTTTTCCTTCCGGGGCTTCCATCAGGGGGCCTTCATGGGGCGAGTGTCATTTCAGCCGCCCGTCGCCCAATTCGGCAAGTCGCGAAGTAGGTTCCCGCCATGGTGTGAGTGTGTGTGTCTCCGTTTTGGAGGATCTCCTGTTTGAGGTTGCTTTCAAGGGAAACCAAAGTGGTCAAGCGAAACCGAAGGCAACACACCCGTTTGGGCTCCCCTCTAAATGAGACCAACCCAAGAAGAACCAAAGCGACTTGACTTGCAATTTGCAATCCTGTTCTGAAGTTGAGTCGGGGCCTCTTGGGCGGACATCATTTACCACCCATGTTGGATGGCATTCCCATCAAAGCTGCACGGCCATCTTGGTCCCGCACACATGGCCACCGCTGGGATTTCGATTTCATACGAGCATCGGTCTCTTTGCAGAGCTGTGAATACCGCGCAAAAGTGCTGATGGGGACGGATTGAAACAGTCCCGCATGTTTTCAAGGGGCCTCAGTCAAAGGCCTTCAGCAGCTCCTTAGGGAAAGCTCAGTGTAGGATCCCCTGAGCACACCCGATGACCAATGCGGGTACTCTATTCAGGTTGGTTTAAAGGCAACTCCAAAGGAACATCGCCATTTGGGGCAAATCAAAGCTTTATGAGCTTGTTGTAGCCTCAGACCGGTGAGCTTGAACTCGCGTCTTTTGTCAGGATTACATGAATCCCCATCCCATGCAATTGTCCACCAGAAGGGACCCCACCGTTCTTTCCATGCAGGTTGTTGCGAATGGGTAATCTTGGGGTTGGTGGGGGTGGTTATTGGACCCCTTAAGGTTTTGGACAACCACTGTAAGGGGCAACCATGATCATGACGGACAGAGGAGTTTTGGCCATGGCACCTTTTGTATATGAAGCTTCACTAGATATAGCCCAGAATCTGAACACCCGTTTTGTTCGGGAGGGAACCAGCACAGCCAGTAGGTAAGGCTCCAGACGAAGATGCACAACGAACATCGGGGTTGCGCTCCCAAAACACACAAGGTTGGTTTGGTTTCCTGTGGTTTAGGTTTCCCTTGCCGACCTCATCTTTGCAAGAAGCAAATAGCATCTTGTCCAAACGCACAACGCATGTGTCTCTCTTGGCTTTTCCAATTTCTTTGCTGACGTACTAGTTTCGGACTAGGCTGGAGCGGCTCGCTGTGGGAATTGGTTTCATATGGATGCTGCTTTCAATGGGCACTTACAGTTTTGTATATAGATGATATGCCGGGGGCCAACTGTCGGTATGAGG